TTAAAAACATTAGTAAATTAGAACATTAAAAAATTAAAAGACATGTAATGTCATAGTTTATAAAATAATGTAATAAAGGTAATGTAAATAGTACCTTTAGTTAATGAATTATAGATGATATATTAATCGACCTCTTTAAAATATCAATTAGTCCTTTATATACAACTTTTCACAGTGAATTGGCTTGCTTGTCACATGACAGACATTACCAAAAGAATTTCTATACAAACGCAGCAGTAGCATGAACGCTTTTTGCTGAAAAGATAAATGTAACAATACTTGTAGAGGAAGTGCAACTTTCTTCTAGTGAACCAAAGATTTTCGTTACGTGATCCATCTAAAACGTAACAATACCTTAACAATACAAGGTTCTTTATGTGAAGGAATCTAAACATTAGCTACTAGAATCATTACGAGAAATTACACATGTACAAGATGAACTGTGACATAGGCACCCAAATAAATTATTCTTAGTCTATGTTTTGGAAACCAACGAATCAGATTGTTTAATTTTTGAAACCTCATCTGCTTCTTCTCAAAATGAATAAAGTAATTTTAAATTATTTTTCAGATAATTTTAAACTGCGCTACAAATAATGCAGCACAAAAAGAACGTTGCATTATACTGTAACTTAAATTTATGCACTTTAAAAAAATAGTTAACTATGCTTGGACTCACGAAAGAATATCAGTATAATTTTTGGACTTTTATAGAGTTATACAAATATACGGACAAGAAAACAAAACATTATTCATAATTAGAATGTATATTCTTTTTCTGTTTTTAATTATAATAATATTGATGATATTTGGAAGTTGCACAATAAAGTACGAAAGATTTTGCTAAAGTGTCTATGACAATAGATATAAAATCCTATCTATAACGTTTAAGAAACTTAAAATTGTAAACTTATTCTTCTAACTGAAGTAACATTTGGCAAGAAAGATTTTACATTTCTCACAAGTATATATCAATCAAATAAAGTAAATTCACATTTTTAAATGAAACATATGTAAAGTTTTTATCATTTCAGTAATTATGCTTATGTATTCATAACACACTTTGTTTTGAAAATTTGCCCTTTATAGTTCGAAATAACTTACACTTTATGCTTGCATTAATTTGTATAAATGCATATAATTAAAATAACATATAAATTTTCCAATGTAACCTACATTTATAAGACTGGTGACAAAAAGTATTCATAGTTGAGCCTTTTCACACATAATATGCTTCGAATCTTTGCAAAGAGTTATATAGGCATATAATAAACCAAAAATCTTAATTTTAGCAACCAGTTATGCTTCTCAAAACATGAGAAAATCAAGATCTGTTTACTTTATTTCTGATTTCTATTTAAATACTCATAGATGAAACTGATATATTTTTTCTTACGTTAATAACCTAAACACTTAGTCTGAAAGAACATTGAAATGCATGCTGCCGTCTTAATAAGAACTCTTCAGCAAAATTCCTCATCTTTCCAATATATTTTAATGAGTTCTTATCATTATATTTTCGCCATCTGTCTTCTAATGTTTATTTTGTTCTTGTCGATTTTTCTTTCGCGAATTTAATGCAATTTATATTCTTCGCCATTTCTTTCACCACGTGTAATTTACAGCTGTTTGTAGCATAATTTACAGCTGTTTACGTTTTCAAAGCACTCACATTACACTAATACGCATATATCTGAATTTTGTTTAGCCACTATCTAGTAAATTCCACTTCTAAATTCCTTATCTCAGTTCATATTTTCTTATTTCAGAGGTAGATATTTCTAAAAATGATCAACTTAAAAATAATGAAAATTTCGTACAGATGTCACATTATTAGTACATAATCAGGCATAGTAATTTTTCTTGTTCCTTAAGCATAGAATTTTTAATAGTTTATCTAAAATATTTTCAGTAATAATTAATAAACAGGAACACAACAACGAATCTGAATATCGTTTGATGTATAGATATTTTGGCTCAACAAAATAATTATGGATACTGGTTAAAATAAATATATTTGTATTTATCTCTCTAAAATCATTTTCAGAAAGTTGTGCAGATGATGTGTCTAATGTTTTGGCTATTATATCTACAAAGTAAACATCAAACTTTCAAGTAAATGTATTGAAAAGTACTTCTAAAGTGTGTAATGTCATGAAAATACGATAATAAAACTTTAAATACATAATTTATTGCCTCGTTTCCAGCACACCTTATTAAGAGAATTAGTTTTCAAAAGTGTTTAAATTATAATGGTACAAGCATTTTACGATGAACGAAGAACATCGCACATTGAGACAGAAATATTTGCAGTTATAATATATACTAAAATAAGGTAATAAGTTTATACTCAAAATAATTCTTTATGTTTTGATAAACGCATTCTAGACACTAAGAAGACGCATTCTAGACTCTTTCATATCGTTACTTCTAAACCTACCATAGTCTCCTTACAAAGCGAAGCCATTATAAAACCATTGTAAGCAAGCGTATTCCTCATCTAAATATATTCCCATAAATTTAAATAATTGTCATCCTCAACATACCTCAGTAAATTTATGAATCTATGGGCCAACCAGCGGCCGAGCGGTAAAGTCGCTGAACACTGGTAGTTCGGTCCGAATCCCGCAAACTGGCTGGCTGCATGGGCGTTTTCGTGGTTTTCCCCATGTGTAACGTGTATACGAGCCAGTTTCCCTTAGAAAGCCCTCCACGAAGGCATCCCTCCCCTTAGGCAGATAGCCCTAGTCTGCTTTGCCATAATTAAATAAACCAAACGAAACCAAATATGAATATATGTAACTTTAAGTTTTTTTTTTTTTTTTTACTATAAATGGGAATCATACGAGTAGAAAATTAAATATGTATCGGAAAGAAAAAAATGAAGGATGGTAATTGATTGATCACTCAAAGGATGGAAAGCTTACAACTGGCATCTGTGACCGAATTTATAAAGTATTAAATTTATTTAATATGCCTTGTGTTCTATGTGACACTTACTGCTAAACAGCCGATAGTGGTTTAGTGGACTGCATACGTAAAATACTAGTAGCTATTTTTCGATTCTATATACGGCTGTTGAACTGGCTGGCTACAGGAGGTTTTCGCAGTTTTCCCCTTACCAGTGATGACCTGAATAACAATATCATATAAATCTCAGGGAACACTGATTATTCTTTCACATTACTGTAAAGGATTATGCATTATTTCTAAACCTACGAAACTATTTTTTCAAAGTGAAATAACAATAAGGTCTTTGAGGCTATTTGAGGTATGATACTAGAAAGAGTTGGAAAATATTTTCTTTCTCAATCGTCAAAAAGCGAAAGCAGAGAAGGAATTTCCGTAAACTTAGACAGTTGCATCCTAAAACGTATATCCTTGAAGCCTTGATGTAAGATATCCTTGATGTATTAAATCACCTAGTTGCTAAAGCTTTAAATTCCGAAACACATTCCCTGTATTAGGATAACAATGTATCAGTTCGCATCGAAAAACTGGTGATAGAGCGGTTTAGAGGACGTGAAAGTGAAATTTCAGTTAAAATAACACGCCGAGTAACGATTATTGGAAGACTGCTTTTTAAATCCTCCAATAAACGTGACAGTGAGTTTGAACACCGTCAATACATCCTGCATTATTCCCTGATCTCAATAAAATTCATCCTGCTTGAGGTATGCTAGAGGGCAGAGTTGGAAAATCTCCATCACCATAAAGTAATATAACTTTCCACTCCAATCCTTATACAGTAAAATAGCAACATTTTTGAAACAGTAGTACCTAAAAATAGCTTAGCTATGCTTGAACCAGACTTGATCCGTCATTTACAAGATGAATCTCTGTAGTATTGTCCTCTAAAAGAGGGCTTAAACAAACTTAATGAAGTAGTACATTCTAGATGTAGGTATTTCAGTTCTTGACCATCCCTCGTATTTTCTGATTCACCTGCTATACTTTAAAACCCAAACGTAGAACAGTCTTTAAATAAATGATACTCACAAAAGATAATGAATAGTCTTTCTACGCCTGCAGTACTTAGCAGGTTAGCATTTGCTATACTAGGATACGTGCTTTTAACATCGCGTTCACTAAAGTTTCAGATAAACAGGTCAGTAAGTCTATTTTTAATTACTAGACGATTTTGAAAATATATTAATCAACGATAAAAGTACATTCATTCGTTAATGCTCAGACTATTTCCGTTAGATTAATGAAAATTTTGTACGTCTGATCTGATAGATTTTCCAAATGCATAGGCTATTTAATGCATAATATGCATTTTTATTTCAATTTAATTTTTTAAGTATTCAGTTATCGAATACGTTCGAGCACTGAATCAGTTTTAATTTTATTCCAATCGTTCAGAAATTACAAGTCATAGTATTTATAATACCGGTTTTCTAAAAATTATTTTATTACATTTATGTCAAATATGGCACTGTAAGTACATTTAATTAATATTGCACATATAATTAGAAATTTTTTACAAAATTTATGTTCGTAATAAACAGTTTCCAAACGTGTAATTCTCTATGCGTTTTAAGAGTTACTGAGCTGAAATAATAATACTCCTTAAAATCCATGATAAAAACTTTCAACCATTTCTTAAAAATGTAAAACGTATCGCAATAGGGGCATGTATTTGTGATGATATTTTCCCACTAGTACTATTCAGTTGGCAATATTCAGTTGATACTAAATAAGTTAACATTTCGAGATGACGTTTAGAGTAAACAGATCTCCATACATCTAATTCCTTTTTTAAGAATTTTTCTAATACTCTATAAGTAACAATTAAAATTAAATACATTCAGTTGCTATTAAATTTTTTGTTTATATATCACTAATTAGACTTATATTGTTCATCAGCTTTGAAATGTAAGACATTCCTTATTTCTTTGTATTTTTAAGAGTTTACATAGTGTTTGCGTGTGTTTGTGTTAAACGTTATTAGTATCAAGCCAAATCATCTGAAATTCTCTTATTTATTTATCCAACAGACGGGGAAGTTTTTTGGAGAAATAGATTTCACCTTATTCGAAATCTTGGTCGAGGAGAACATATATAGGAGGTAAGTTCCATGGAATATTTATGTCTAATTTCCTTAACGTTTGGCTCATGTTGTACATAAGAGAAAAATAAATTGCTTGGAACTCAGTTTTCGGAAAGTAGGTGTCATATATTTTGTTTACGAACGAAATTTAACAGAAATTTCGCCAATTGTAAAGGTAAGATTGGCGTATTGTTATTATCCATATTTTTGCGATGAATACGTACTCTTTGAAAAGCTTTCTTTCAAATTTCTGGCCAGTGTTTCTTCACATTATAAACATTATTATTACAAATTTCAGTAATAAAGTCAATCCATATTTAATAACTTCTTGTACTGAGAGATGATGAAAAATATATAAATGCACAAAATTCCATAAGAGTCCCAACGCTTTGAAAAATAATCATTTTGAAACATTGAAACTAGAGCTTCGGATTCTGTTTTAACTAATTTCTCCTTATCTTTATTGGATTAACCCAGCCCTTCGGCATAACCTTCAAACATAAATTCATATATTGTATGTAAATAAAGTTAAAATATTCATTTACTCCTGCTATCAATTTAAAAGAATCGCCTACCCGGGTAGAATGCTTTGTTAAGGTTAATTGATTCCCAAGTATTTGGGCTCAAGTTCGATTCATAGATAAAGTGTGCATATTTGTAATTATAGCATCTTAAGTATTTAGAATCTGTTTATACAAAAGTCTTCTAGAAATACTGGCGGAAGCGTGGCAGGACGTAGAAGACCCTTTGGTTCTACCACTCTTGAATTATTCGTCAGTAATTAGAAAGATAGACATTGCAGCCTTTATGTGTTTTGTCAAAGTTTAGTAAACAAAGAAGAATGATTTAATGATTGTATTGTAATACCATATTAACAAAATGTCTGAAGTGCAGCTCTGAACTTTGTTTCGATAAGGAATGCAAAAGTAGGTTCATACTGCAAGACACAATTCAGTGAATTTGGAGGAGTCATATTAGTATATTTTAACTCAATAGCTACCCTAAAATTATTTAATTCAATCACGTTTAAGAGTTTATAAGTTTAACTAAATGTAAAATAAATTCATAATTTTTATTCCTGGCATGTTTTGCTAAAGATTATCGTAATTAAAGTTTATCTATAGTCATTCAGCTCGCAGAAAAAAAATGTTCGATAATCTAACAAATACGAGGGATGACTTATAAATAAATTCTCCAATCGTATAATACAAGTTTGCAACAAATTAAAATAATGAAAATTGCATATAAACAATTGGAAAATGATTTCTCCTAAACATTACATATTTTTTTACAAAATCTCTATTTATTGTTATACATTTTTCCAAAAGTGTGATCAGTGTTTTTAGTGCTTTCACATGAAGAATGTTTGTGGTTTGTTTTGAGCTATCTGAGCACAGACACTTAAGTTTTAGCATTAAATAAAACATATTGACTTTCCAATATATTTTTCAAATGTTGAGAAACTAAAATTGTGCTATGCCAAATCTGGACTGTAAAGAGAGTTTTGAACGAGTGTACATTTCAAGCTTGTTACTGTTATACATCTTCTACAATGCGGCCCTGCACTATCATAATGCAAAAGCGAAACGTTTCTGCTCTCAAGCCTGATTATACAAATGCATTGCTTGAATGCTGATAAGGTTTCATAATGCATTTCGGAATAAATTGTCAGGATTAATTGTCAGGCTCTTAGGCAAAATTTCTATAAAAATCTCACCCACTGCATTCCAAAATATAATGAACATGAGTTTATTTACTGAAGAAACAGTTTTAAATTTCTTGAGATCCGGAGAATTCGGATGATGATATTTCATGGATTTCCTTTGGTCACAGTCATATAACAATGACACTAAACTGCTATAAAAATATTTGCGAATTTCTGTTGGCGAATTCCAACTGTCAAAAACCTGATACTTTGATATTTTTGATATCAAAGTTTTTATGGTTTTTAATTTAGATATAGGCAGAAATGTAGCACTGGCGTCGCATCTTCGTAAGGACCTCGAAGGACATCTCTAGGGAGAGAGAATTATATTAATGTTTAAATAGTTCTTTAAATACATATAACGCTTTAGATATGTTAAAAAACATTTGAAGATACACAAAGTTCACAAGGGTTGAAAGAAATTGAAAGAAAAGTACCGTGGTTATGCAACAAAGCAGAAATATGTTTCATTTAAAACGTGCAATAATCATGGTTACAATTGCGAGAGAATGAGATGCCTTGACCAATAAAATCTTCTTCTAGGATAAGATAACAGAAGATATCAATAAAACGGAGCATATTTTTCCCCAGGCGTTTTTGAAAATGTTCTGACTTGTACTTTTGAGATAATCCAGCAGTAGTAATTATCAAATTTTTGGAATGAACTAGCTTGTGTCTTCATTATGTTGCATGAGTCCACATCCTGATTAGTAATAAAGTCATGAAAGTCAGTTTACTTGTTATTAAAGTTTTGCGAGTTGCGTTCCACAGAGCAATTTTGATGAAGCCCAAGCATTACTGATGTATCTACTCACGGTTGTTGCTGTTAAGATTCACTTCCGCCTATAATGGTGTTTTTCTTAATCAGAATATTTTACAGGCCTTTGACCATGTTTATTATTGCAGATAGTATTACCGTGTGAAGTTTATATTATTTTTACTATCAGTTATTTTTTTAATTTGTTAGCATTTTCCATCATTTCTTGTTTTTTTCGCTTTTCCTAGCCAGGATGTAAATGAGTTAGAGTTAACGAGAGTGTGTTTAAACTGAAGTATCGGAAAGGTTAGTTGATTTTCACCATAGAACGTGTTTCATTCCTGAGTGCGCACGTTTTTGTTTTTACTAGCTGTTTAAATTCTGAAACTCGGCTTCTCATTCTTGTCGCAGAAGTTTAATATCATGCCGGTGTAGGCCGGTGTTACTGTTTTTAAGTCAACTTGATAAGTTAAATTAATTTGTGGAATCTTGAATTACTAGCTTATCTTTCAATTTAGTTTAGTTTACTATTATCTTTAGTTTTATCTTCACAAGTTAATGGTGGGTGGATTTTTAAGCACAAAGACTGTGCCGTCAGTAAATAAGTGAGTTCAATAAAAGGGTCTTCTGCTGTATTCATCTTCTAGTCTTAGCGATAAGTCGCTAACAGACTTCCAAGGTTTAGTAGCAGTTTATACTATCCAAGAAAATTAGACGTTACAACCGACCTCTGCTTTATGCATAACTCAGAAGTACCAGTTATGACTAACGAATGCCACTTTCATGGAGGTGAACAATGAAATGAAACCAAGCATATTCGGCTCTAAGAGTCGCAGCTGTCAAAAAAACATATTTTCTTCACAAACCACTGGCGACGTTATGCAATAAGACACCTTACTTATAAATCACTCTTAACGTATTCCTCATTCTAGAGTTGCATATTATCTGTCACCATAGTTTAGTAAATATTATGTTTACGAGTAAGAGGCTCGTTTAATAATCCCCAAAATTCTAATTTATAAATAAAGAATATTTTATTATTTAAAATTTGTTGTCCGCTGCTCTAGTTTTTGGAGGGGTTGTTTGCTTAGAACATCTAAAAGAAGTCAAACTTTTGTTTGTCCGCACAAGAGATCTAGGAATTTAGTTTGAAGGAAAAATGTTTTTGCATTAGGTTTAGTTTCACTTTAATTCTTCTTAGCTTAGTAGATGTCCATTATTCAAGCTGAACTCATGAAAATCATTAATGTATTTACTTATTTTGCAAGTGTGTTTATTTAATGTATTAATGTATTTACTTATTTTGCAAGTGTGTTGCAAGTGTGTTTATTTACTTATTTTGCACTTGGTCAGATATTAAAAAGCTCTTGTAATTATTTTCCAGCTTTTGTTTCCTAGTGCAATTTAATAACACTAAAATGTATTTTTATATTAATAATAAGACAGTTTAGTCCTACCATTCGTTTTAGTTAATAGATTAATTATACCATTTCTTTTAGTTTTTTAGCTAAAAGGAGCTCTACAATTAATTTTCAGTTGCAGCGTATATGGTATTTAAACTTATAAAGATATACACGAAAAGTGTGACACAAAAATAAGAACTTTAAATATTTTTAGGTCTTTACAACAAGTATAAATAAAAATAGTTTCCTTAAATAGATCTGTACAGTCGTGAAAACTTTGTTTCAAAATTCATTATTCATTGCAAACGTAGTTACTTTTCAGCATGAAAGAAGAAAAAAGAATTACATGAAACTTACTGATGTTTTTCTAAAGTGTTACAAAATTGTTAATTTATTTTCATTTAGTTATAATTTATTAAAGCTTTGGGAAAAGATTCAGATGATGAAACAAATTTATATATAAAACTTCCAGTGATGATATTCAACCACAATGTTCTGTAATTCTATGTATTTCTGCCCTCTAACTGGCCACTCCTTAAAATTCTGCGCTTATTTCTAAATATCGAATTTAATCAATACATTTCTGTCTCGCTATTTTTGCTGTACTGAAAGGCACTGTCAAATTCCCTTTTTTAAGTCTATCAAATCTGACTTCTTCAGTCGCAATATACAAAGTGATCATCATCATTATCTTCGTAGGTCCCTACCCACGTAGTGAAAAAAATGAAAATAGATATTCACTCCTGATTGCTGATCAATTTTCGAAGTAGGTAAAAATAATTTCCCTCAAAAAAACTTCTGCGAAAATTGTTTCAGATTCCACTTTAAATAAATTTAGACTGAAGTACGGAGCTACAATCAAAATAATTTGAAACAACAGAAAATAGCTTGTTAAGTCAAATTTTTGAGGAAATATGTACGGATCTTCGCATTAAAAACTTTACAATGTAGTATTTCTAAAATTATTGCTGTAATAAAAAAGCCAGGCAATTTTAGTTTTTGATGCAAAAACAAATTATTCCTCAAAGTCCCCATTGTATAAAAAATATATAGTGTTATTATCAATACTACCTTTAAAACTAATGTTAAAGTTAATATTTAGCTCATAAATATTCAAACTGAACTGTCCATTTTCTGTCATAGTGTTGAATTTTAAGCTGTTCATCTGGGTACATTCATAACAACATATTTTTATTTAACATATTTCTTTCTGTTATTCCATCTAAGTTGAGTGAAAGTCCAATGTACTTTGAGACGCTTAAATAAACTTGTTGACTTTTAGTAATAATATCTATTTTCTTACATGCATAAAAGATTTATACAAAATAATTGATAACTTAATCACAAAGTAATCAAGAAAATTAAAATGTTTGTCCTCTATAATATCCGTATCTTTGGTTTTTCTATAGTACCCGTTTTCTTTAGTTCAGTCTCTCTCTAAATCTCTGGTTTTCATTCAGTATCTGCTAACATAAAATCGATTAAAATGTATTACTATTAAAAACTTTCCCAAATTTACTGATTTAAAATTAATAATGATATATTCCCTTTTGTGCACGGTTTAATCAACTTCAAATATTATTAAAATTCCATTTAACGAAATACATAATAAAATGGCACATATTTTTAAAGTTAACTGTCTTTCTTTAAATACAAAGAAATAATGATTCAATGTGTTTATCAACACAGATTCAAGTCAAAAATGAAAACCTGTGATTAATTTTTCATCTTTATTTATGTGTAGGTTTATATTTTTATTTAACGTTAAAAATAATTATTAAATATAGTTTCCGAAAGGAATTTTTTAAATAAAGGAATTAAAATATCCTAATTTCCATTTTTTATAAATGTAAAAAAGGAAATTTTTATCATTCATGTCTTTTCTTTTCAGTGTGCGAATGTTCGACTATCAAGCAATATGCATTGACGAAATTACTTCATCTGGACCAGCTTCAATTCTTAAAACTGTAAGTTTTACTTTCTAAACATTTTCTGGGAATATTCTAAGAAATTACCCTAAAAGAATGTAAAAGACTTACTTGTAGCAGTACATCAGTTAAAAAATACATCTACTTTTGACAAAAATATTCTGTCAAAATATTTTAAAATCCAAATTTTTCACAAAACTAATAATTTTAGAATAAAACATGGCATAAAGTGGTTTAATAGCAATATGCTGAAAATTGCGTTAGCCTTAGCTGAAGCTAAAGATAAACTTGGGAAGTAAAATATTGTTGAAAATTTACGCAACTGAAAATAAAAATGTTATTAGTAATAACACAGCAAATAAAATTCAGTTTTAAAACAATAACAGAATCTATCAACAGATCTTGAATAAATGCATAATTTATCCAACTTAATCAATAAAAGGCAAAAAGAATAAAAATGCTACACAATACAGATTATGAAATGTGGTCATCAGCAGTAATGTCCGCTGTACAGCAATAAAAAGTGTAGATTCATCAGATTGTTTTGAAGCACCTGCCGTAAAAAATATGCATTTTCCTTGCCGGGACTCAAACTCTTGACCTGCCGATTACGCATAGAACGTGCTTCTAGTTCTACCACGAAGGCAATGGAAAGAAAGTAGAAAATACCTTATACACTTCTCCTTTTAGAGGGCGAATGGGAATGAGAACCAATCGACAAATCTTGCTTACAGCGAATTATCATTCACCACCTTTTAGTTCGGCCGCCACTTGTCAAGTCAATAGGTTCTTTTGAAGCAGGAGAAGTGAAAAATGGGTCGTTTCTTCGCCGAGATTCGAACTCTGCATTTCCCGATTATGTGTTGGACATGCTTCCAGTTACACCCTGAAGGCACTCGGAAAAGAGGGAGAAAATACTGAAACACTGATAAACTTCATACAAACTGAAAAATGTAACGTTATAAGTAAGTAGAACAATAATATTTACAAAAATGACTAAAAATGCAAGCATTAAAAATTTAGAATGCTACAGTACAAAAAGAACTGTTCCCAATATTGCAGCAATAAAAGCTAAAACAGATAATGTAGAACAAATAAACTAAAATAGTGAAGTCAGGGTATCTGCAGAATTCAAAATTTTTGTAAAAACTAAGATACATTTAAGATGCAAGGAGTCATGCCAGGAAAAAACAAATAGTGTCGCATGCTTATGCTTGTAAGTAGTCCCTGGAGTGTGGATTAAGATAGCACATTCGCATAAGAATAGTTAAATTACTCAGTTATACACAGCTAGTAAAACTGTAAAAAATGTATAGTAAGAAAAAGAGAAGAAAAAATTTCACCCATTTCATCTGACGTGAATATTTAAATTAAGTTTAAAGTGCTGTCTCGTCTATACTTACTTGTTCCTGGCAATTTCGAGGTTCGATGACTCCAGGTGCAGCCGGAAGTTCATCTGTACTTCAGCTTATTCAGTTACAAATAGCTGTAGGGATAATGATAAATACCAAGTCTTCTTCTCAGAAAGACCTTTATTCCGTACTACCTGTCTTTTTGCTTGCTAATATTAATGTGGAAATGTGTATTCCAACCTAAATCATGAAATGTTCTAACTATTGGTTGCGCTAAGCTTACCTAAGACGATTGCAGTTGGCTTTCATTTCTTAGAGAGAAATGTTATGTCTATGTGTCTTCAACTCAAATTTAATGAGCATGCATAATTAATGTGTATGGCTGCATAAAATAGTGTTTAAAGCACAAAGTTTTAACAAAAATGAAATGCCAAATATTCAGAGCTGGACTCGGAGAAAAGTATTAGAGATTTCCATAATGGGACTCCAAAATCAGTACCAAAAGTAGCCAGAGAAATGGGGGGGAAACCACTTTTACTTTTTTATTTTCTAAAATCTCCATATGCTAACATTTAAATTTCTCTTCTAAATAACATTCGTCCAAATTCCAAATCATGTGTTGGGGAGAGGGGTAATTCATACAAATGGCATATATGGAAAATTGGAACATGCTGTTTTGTGAAGTACTGATGTATGGTTTCGCAGATGCACACGTAAACCACATACTCTCTTCCTGTAAAGTTTTTCGAAATGTATTAACATTCTGGCATCTAAAAATTATTGGTATGTTCATTCCGCAGTTCCATGTAAGTGTGAACTTTTATGCACAAAGCACAAGTACATAGGTCAGATTGACCTAATGCTTTTCATTTATCTGAGAAAAGTATTTTCCAATTTAAACACATGTTCTTGAGGTTAACATTTAACATAACGTACTATGGTTTGTGTTAAAACCTAAATAAGTACAACAATAGAAATAAAAATTTAAATGAAAGGAGTTTTTAGTTTGGTTTATTTAATCATGGCAAAGCACACTAGGATTATTTGCCTAAGGGGAGGGATGCCTTCGTGGAGGACTTTCTAAGAAAAATTGGCTCCTATACACGTTACACATGGGGAAAACCACGAAAACGCCCATGCAGCCAGCCCGTTCGCGGGATTCGAACCTCGGAACGAACTAACAGTGTTCAGCGACTTTACTACTCGGCCGCTGGTGGGCGAAAGGAGTTTTAGAAAAAATATTCCAGTTAAAAGCATCACAATTAATTGCTATTTCTGTTTTTCAGCCCTTATGTCATTTTGGGAAAATAATGAATTGGCTGTGGAGCAAATTAATTATGTAAGTGATTAATTATTTTATTACTATTACATCATTAATGTTCTGTTATTACATAGCCATTATGTAAATGCTTAAATTATATGTGCTGACAATATATAAACTGAGGAGTGTAGTTACTATTAAGTTTTAAGATATATCTCATCAAATGTAATAGTAAAAATATTTTTCTTCTCAAAACTTTGACAGTAACAAAATAATTAAATAATTAAGTGCATAAATATAAACATGAAAAATAAACGTGTTTTTTTGAAATTAAATAAATTGTTTTAAGCACTGATGTACATAAATAGATCAAAAATTGAATAATATTGACTCAATAAGTACTATTAATGTCACGCAAAATGTTGCGAAGTTTATTACTTAGGAAAGATATAAAATATATATAATTATTATCAACCAAATGAGGCAAATTTTCAAGCAGGAAGACAGAAATTTAAAACAGTTGAACCAATAACTTGTAAACCAAAACTGAAATAAATGTAATTATTTTAAATTTCATTTAAATATTATAAATTGGATTTCTTTGATTACCTTTGCAATTCATTCAGATGTAATTCAGAAACGTTGCTCTGTTGATAATTCATTCAGCTGATTCTTGTTAAAGACTAAAGAATTATCATTTATTACTTAATATTACGTGAATTTCATTTCATTTTTGTATTAATTTATATTTATTAAAATTTTCTTTCCAAATTATTGACTCAATTATTTTTAATTTCTGCCTTTCTGTCCTGTTAGAAAGTTTCCCACTTTTAATTGGATTGGTATTAATTCTATATTTATATTGAAATTGTGTAATTTGTCTGTCCTTTTTTAAACGGAATATAAAACGATTTCTAAATTGACTTAAGTGTAATAGTAACTGAAAGGTGTTTTCTTGAAAATTATGAAATGCACTTTCATGCTCAGTTCCATCTCTACAACTTCACTCAGTATATGATCACTTAATTGTCAATATCTTTTACTTTCTTAATGAAACAAAATATGATTATGAATAATTTTATTGGATATATATAGCTACAGTTTTTAATTTCTAAAGCCCATTCTAATTTTTAATGCAACATTTTCATTCATAATATTAAAACACGCGCCTTTATTTTATACTATATTTTTTCAACAAAGGACAAATTCACATGCATCATGTTTAGTAGTGAAAAAACTTGCTCGGTGAATCTCATGAACCTAAGAATCAACCCTCGGGACTTCCTGCGAATCAAAATTGCGCTGTTTAAGACGAAGTAAATAACAAAAATAAGAATAACAACAAAATTTTGAGTGAGAAATAAGTTTAAAAAGGTATAAGAGAGAAAAATTTCTAAAGACAAAGATGAAAAACTATTATTGTGCTTTAAGAAGTTGTTCAAGCATCATAGTTTAAGACATTTCTGATTTATTTGATAAGGGAAAAATTGAATGGATTTGAATATATTATGAAAATGCCTAAGGGAAAACAGAATCAGCATCATCAGTCTCAAGATTACGCTATGACTCAGAAAGATCACAATGTAACTGCAAATGTATAAGTAAACACCCGTAATGATATGTAAAAACGTTTCGAAGGAAGATTTAGAAGTTTAATAATCTAAAATGCTTCTCACTCAATTCTTTAAACGAGATGCATGAGTGACAGTTGTCCTGATCTTCATAAGCTACAGAGATCTTGTAAATTTAGAAGAGGTTTACGTTTCTTTTACAACAGTATGCTTGCTTTCAGTGCTGCATTTATTTTGCTAATTCGTTGGAAAGCCTTTTTTTAAATATATGAAAGATTAAGACACAATAACACTCCGAACAAATACTAATTCAGAAGTCAAACAACAAAAATCGGCGTTATATTTTCAAAATCTTTGCAGGGCTAGTTTCAATGGTTTTACCGCCATCGAAACTAGTCCTGCAAAAATTTTTTAAATATAGCGCTGATTTTTGTTGTTTGACTTCTGAATTAGTATATGAAAGATGTTAACTGCATTATTTGATCCAGGACTTTGATAGATTATGCATAGCTTGTTAATCTAAAAACAAATTTGCTGTATGAATATTATTATGAATTTTATGCTGATACTAGAATAGTTGTGCATTTATCAAGATAATATTTTTCAAGATTTTAAATGAAAAATTATTTCTGGCTGAGAGTTAAAAAATTTCGAAGTTTTCTGTAACTAATTTTTAATAACGAACTAAATTTTTTCAAACTTCATAAGAGCTGCAACAGTATTTCTTATCCACATGTATATATGATTGAAAAACAATCAAAATAGAAACGCCAGAAAATAAAAATCCATAAAAGCACGTTTATTGCTACTGCAAATAACATAAATAAATAAAAATATTAATACAAATAAAATGTAAAAATATATTTATTACCTCATGGAAAGCAAGCCAAATGAAAAGCAATAAATTAAAAGAAACACAAACATTTAATTAAAATAAACGGCCATCGAAGGGCACGTCTAAAAGGAAGGATTGTATTACTTAATATTACGCTTATTAATATTATGCTTTTGTTCGCCATCAAGAATTAAGCCTTATCAAAATCAAATTACTTTTCTAATTTTGATTTTGATAATTTCTAATTTGATTTGATTAGTGGGTGCTTCCCGATTGTGACAAAACGAATATCAAAATTCGCCTCTTTTTCAAGAGTCCTTCTCCAATCCTTTTTTTCAACTGATGATTTTTGTTTTTATATATCGGCAAGAAAATGTTTCGTATAACTTGCTTTCTATCAGGCCGGAATGTATTCTTACAGCTTTCTTAAACGCAATAATAGATAAGTTTACTATAAATATAGATAAGTTTACTATAAATATAGATAAGTTTACTATAAATATAGATAAGTTTACTATAAATACATTATTACAAATTTTCTATATATGTAAATAATTTTAGTGAAATTATACACGAATTGTAGCATCTCTGGTATAATGTAGCATGAAAGGCCTCAAAAAGCAAAGAATCGCCAGAAAAATAGGGCTATAGAGGAAGTCCGTTTAATATTGAGGGATATGTCTAACCCTAGCAACTAATTTTTATCACCAAATTTAGCGAGAAATCGCGAAAACTTCGCCAGGCTTGGTAACCATTTGGCGATATTTTGGTCTGATCCCTGTGTAAGTGTAACTGCATCAAGTCCTATATAAATATATTCGGCCTCATGTAACTGTGTATGTCTTCCAGCAATTTCCAGAAATCCAGCTGCTGGAAATTTCTCTAGCGGCTAGAGGAAAACTATATAAGACCGGAAAGCGTTTAGTTTAGAGTACTGAGCTCAAATTTTTGAGAGATCAGCGTGCGAGCTTTCGCTTTGCATTGCCTTGTGTTTAATGTTCTTAGTAGTTTGAAGTGTAACTACGGCACTCATTAATCATTCGGGTTTAATGTTTTAAATGTCCAGTGTAACATTTTAGTAACTATGAAGTGGGGATTATATTTTATTATCAACTCTGATTTGAATATATCCACTTTGTTAGCATTTAGCCCTTGTTTTGTTTTTAAGCCTGGTTATGATTGGTTAAACCTGTATAATAGTCAAAATCCAAAACACGCGCACTTTTCATCCTGAAATCAGTACCCGTATCTTAAAATAATTTGCACTCGTAGAGTAATTTAGATTTAGTAGTCGGAGTATCTCAGTTAAGTAATTCTATATTATTCCAGGAGCAATTTTTTAAATTTTGTTGCATGATTTGTTTATGTCCCCCAGTATTTTGACAGTTTGGCCATTTATTTGGGACATGTAGAAGTTATTTGTACTATCATACTGTTACGAATTTTGTATTTAGTTAGATATTTTTAGTAGAATTATAATTAAAACTGTTGTGTTTCCTCTTGCAATGCAGCGCGAGATAAATTTTAAGAGAAGGCTACGCCAGAAAATTAAAAATTAGGAGTACGTGCATTGAACATTGAATATATAAATTTCTCTTTCATTTGTTTTGAAAGTAAATAAATGTAATTGACTAAGTTGTTAGCTGTAACCGTTATTTTATACGCTTGTTGGTTTCCAGAAATCTCGAGAAGCAAAGAAATTACTAGAAATATCTCGCGACCGATTGAAAACTTTAAAAAGCCGGAGAGAGACATCTTAGCTCAGTTGTTTAGTTAGGTGCTGTTGTTATTGTTGATTCGACTAGCTTTCTCTGTGCTGTGCGTTTTAGTTAACGGTTTTAGTAGTTTAAAGTATAACTACTCATTATTACTGCGTGTTATTGTGAACACTTGTACAAATATTTCTGAAAAAATTTCCAGCGTTCTGTTATATTTCTTTTGATAAGAATACATTTTATTATCCTTTTATCGGACTTGTGCATTCAATCTGTTACGAACCCGTGCGCACGCAACAATACTGTTTCGATTTAGATTGTAAATATAAGTATTACCCTCACTCTTCTTATATTACTTCATTATAGTTATACTTCATTACTTTCTTTTATGACGTTAAGCATCCTTTCTGTGAAAAGTATTTTAAAAAAATGTTTAGTCTCTTTTTCCTTAAGAACTTTGGAATGAAAATGCTTGAATAATTACTCATTAAAATGCAAACAGAATTATAAAATTTTAAGTTATTTTTACGTATCACACCTCAAAGTGAAGCAAATATTTTCGGAAAAATATAGAAAAAAGGATTGTGTCTTTCTAATTTTTTTTAAATTCAAGCTTTCCACTTTAGTAACATGATTAGACTTAACGGAATGGTTTCGTAAAAGCTCCTAATCCACCCAAGAAGCATATCGTCTAACGTGATGTCTAATGTAAATAAATTTGTGAATTTTAGTTGAGCTACGTAAAGGAAAACGATCGCAGAATAGATAAGTTTACTAATGCAAATGTAAAGAAAATGCGTCAGAAAACTAACTATAAGTTACTAAGGCAAATGTAAAGAAAATGCGTCAGAAAGAATACTTTTATAAACAATCTTACGTAAAATTTCAGCCGGTAGCTTATAGTTCTCAAGCTTTCATGCTGTTCTCTTCCTTTAAACGTCACTGAACGAATTATCG